TGTATCAGGTCTGGAGAGTTCCCTTTCCTTTTTCTTCTCAAGTGGAATTGCAGCAGGCAGGGGACCTAGAAGGCTTGTTGAAGGGGAGGCTTTAGGCAAGTCAGCCCAAAGATGCACACATTTCTGGTATAGTGTCTTGCTATCCCCTGAGTCAAGAGGACCCCCTTCTCCCCCAACCCACAGTCAGTGCAATTTAAGCGGCATTTCCTAAATGCTCTTATGTATCATGCATTGTACCAGGTAATAAAGATATGACCAAGACACCCCTGCCTGCTGCCCCTTTGCCCTGGCGTTGCTAACAGTCTCATGGGAGAACTTGCTTATGAAGTTTCTTCCCAGGCGGTCGAAGTCTCCCTGGCACTGCCTCCTGCAATGCAGTGGGTGGGAAGGGGGCATTAAAAGTTTGTCCTGAGACAAAGGTTTGCTAAGGTAGGTCTCCAGGCTGATTCCTCAGAGAAGTGCCCGCTGACCCTCAGATAACCAGAGGCCTCTCTCTGTAAGTTTCCTTCCTAACCTTTATTAAGGTATGTAGTTATGGAATTATTTAGTCATTTGTTTAATACCCATTTCTTCTGCTGGATGTAAGCCCCAGAGGGCAGCACCTAGGGGCTTAGTACCGAGTAGCGGGGGCATCACAGTAGTGAGTATAGGGGCATCACAGTACTCACTCTGTTCACATTTGTTGACTGCAAGATAGGCTGTAACTTCAGTTGCCCCCTCAGTCAGCTTTGGGCAGGGGCTGGGGGCTTGAAGGTCATTGTCCTCTGGAGATGTGCTAACCCTTGCCCGGTTCTTCCCTTCCTGCAGGCTGCTCGCTGGGCTCCAGTGGATACAGTCTCAGGCCACTGCCACCTGATGTCCTAACCTGAGGCCAACCAGAAACTTTGGGATGTTGCGTGGACTCCATGGGTGGGAGAACCGAGTGACTCTTGATTACTTTTCTACCATTCTCTGGTGGGAGCAGGGCCAGCTGTGGACGGTGAGATTGCTGCTGCCCACCCACCTCCCCACAGAGGAGCTGGACTGTACACCCTCGATTGCTGCGGCGGGGACAGAAGCAAACGCTGCCCCTCACTCCACAGAAGCGGCGTCCTTCTTGGAGACTCCAGGGAAGCTGCTGGGAGGATTGGGAATTGGAGCCTCCTCCCCTCAGCTCTCAGCCTCTCTGTAGGAAAAATCGGGTGGGGGTGGGGCAGGCAGCGTGAGAGACTCTATTTCCTAGAACCCCATCCTCAACCCCCGGACCACCACCCCAAATTTCTGGCCCCTCAGCCATCTTTGGACAAAGGATATCCTAGAAAGGTGAAGGGGGTGGGCTCCAGGGAAGGAGGGCAGATCCAAAACCTGGGAGGGGACAGGGAGTGGGACGGGACATCCCCGACAGGAACAGTCAGTCCTTGGCGCTGCTGCAGGGAGTTGCACCCCTCCCTGGCCTCCCCGTTCCCTCTGAGATGCCGCCTCTGAGCTTTGGGCCGCTCCATCCACGCCCTTCACTCCCAATGTCCTTCCGATGTAAATCCCGCTCTGCCAAGTGTCCAGCTGTCTTCCTTTGTGTAACATTTTTTTCACGTGGTATTAAGGTTTTTATAAAGGTGCAATAAATGCCATTGAAAGGTACTCGCCTCTTGTTTCCGTCTGCTGGAGTGGGGCCCTTAGGGGTTGAACAAGCCCGGGAGTCCCGTCTGGGTCCGGCTGCAGACGGATGGAGACCCAGGCCGCCCTGCACACAGGGGGCGGTGCCATGACCCGGCAGACCCCGGGTAGTCTGGGGGCCGGTGTCCGTCTGCAAGTTAGGGAGTGGGTATCGGGGCCAAAGTCTAGACACAGACATGAAGGCCCTAGAATTCTTTAACTTCATGGTTTCCCCGGGGCGTGATCGCGAAGGAAGGACTCGGGAGTTCTAGCTGTCCGTACTCAGGTTCTGTTTTTCTTTCCCATGAACGGATTTTACTGCAACCCTAAGATTAAAATATAAATTGATACCATTTCCTTATTCCACAGAAATTTAGCTTAATGAAGACGGTCTGCGGAGGTGGGGGTATAGCTCAGTGGTAGAGCATTTGACTGCAGATCAAGAGGTCCCCGGTTCAAATCCGGGTGCCCCCTCTCAACATTCAGGCCTTTTCAATCTCCGTTTTGGATCCGCGGTCCACCCCTTCTTAGGTTCCCTTGGCGATGCGGCCTCGGGACCCGGCCAACCTGTTTTGTAATCGGCTTTGTAATCGGCGAGGACAGAGGCCCGGGTCCCGGCGAGGGCTTCCGGGCTGCACCCAGGGCCCGCTGCCCCAAGAAGGGGAGGCGGGCGCACTCCGGGCCCGCCCGGCCAGCGACCGATGGTAGTTCTCAGGGGAGGAAGGGGGCTGAGTTTCTAAGGGCACCGCGGCTGGGGAAGGAAGGCCGGAGAAGCCCCTGCGACCGTGTAGGAAGGAGAGAGGGGCGCTGGCGGCAGCAAGGAGACTCTAGCAGGGCAGCAGAGGGGACCCGGGCCCGAAGGAACGCCGGAAATGAGGGATCTCAGAGATCTCGGGGGACTTACCCTCCCACAGCTCCAAGCTGCATTTTTATTACACCGTCAGTAGAAGCCTTTAGCTCAATGTTTCAAAACACACGCTGCATTCGGATATGTAATCACTCGAGGTGTATGTCCTTTTAAACCGGGGGCTCTACTCCTGAGCGCCCCACGGCGCCCGAATATAGTGAAAGCTAAGAGGCTTTCAGCGCGAGAATCCTAGACACGGGGGTATAGCTCAGTGGTAGAGCATTTGACTGCAGATCAAGAGGTCCCCGGTTCAAATCCGGGTGCCCCCTTCCGCCTTATTTTAAGACCCCACCGTCGATTAAGCAACCACTTTTGTAGAAAGTATGTTTTTCACAATTCTACACTGTCGTCTCCTTCGTTACGTCTCTTTTGGGCAGAAGAGAATGCAAACAATGAGAATTCTGCAGCAGTGGCTTTCCACCATGGTCGCGGGGACCAGCACCACCACCTGGGACGTGTTAGTACTGCAGGCAGACTCTCGGCCCGACTCAGAGCTGCGGAATTAGAAACTTGTGAGCGGTGCCAAGAAATGTTTTTAACAAGCCCTCCAGGTGGTTCTGATTGACGCTCAAGTTCTAGAGGCTTGCACTAAAAAATTTACATGTCATTGGCTTCTAATTATTTCCAAGTTGCTGATTCAGCCTGAGCCCTTGTCCAAGGCCTTACAAAATAGGCTCGAGGCACCCCGAACTGGCGAACGCACAAGGAGGCCTGGGCTGGAGCTGCGATGTCGTCCCGGGACCTCTCACCTTGACCTCCCAGAAGGTCGGGGCGAGGAGGTGTGGACCAGCTGGGCCAGGGCCAGGTGGGCAGCGCGTGGGCAGGTCCGGGAAAGGCAGGGAAGCCGCGAAACACGCGCGTTGAGGGTGGTTATGGCCACTAGAGGGCAGCAAGAAGCCGCAGCTGGAAGAAGCAGTCTTCAGGGGTCCGGCACAAATAACGCCCCCGTTTAATTACAGCTTTTATTATAAAATAATAAGTATGTAATTCTGTAACATAACAATATCACACTCAAGCACACCATATGCCATTTTGGGTGAAATGTTTAAGTTAAAACTATAAATTATTACACTCATATTATTATTACCCTAACAATCACGCTCAAGTAGGCCTTACTTCTGCCAGACCCATTTGAACCTGTTCGAGGCCGCAAAATCTGGATTTAAATTAGAAAAGGATTTACAGACTTTTCTTGTCTTGCCTTGCCCCATTGTAAGGGAATAGAGGGTTTAGGGCGGGAGGAGCTCGTTTCTGGGACCCTGGGTCTTGAGGAAGGGGGACCTGAGATTCTGAGAAATTAGTCTTTAGTTCTTTTTTCATTCAGGCTCACCCTGTTCCCTCTTCCGTCCCCACGCCTGTCCCCGCTCCTCCTGGGAAATTACCCCCTTGGCGCTCAGCGTCCACACCTCTCTCAGGATTTTCATTTCCTAGGCCCCAGGCCCTTAGAAGCCACGGTGCCCCCCACGCCTCATCTCCCACCCTCCGGCGCTCCAGGTCTTTGCTATCGCACGAAGTAGGTCAGGGGCGGGAAGAGGCACCTCCGAGTCCTGACCTGATTCCCTGCCGTCTATTAAATCTCCTAAATTGCTGGTATTTTTATTCTGTCCTGAAAGGGGAAAAAAAAAGTATCCCCAAGAGCCTCTCGTACGGTGGGGAAGGGGGGCGAACCATCTTCTTGCTCTGGGGCTGGGCGTGAGGATTGACTGGGTCGGGCCCCGAGCAGGCCTGGGGTCCGCGGCGAAGGGCGGGTGACCTTCGCGGGGTGGGGAGAGGTCCGTCCGTTTCAAAGCAGGCCGAGCCAGGCCCTCTCCACGTCCAAGTCTGCCGGGCTGCGGGGCAGCAGGATGCTGGAAACGGGGGGCTGTGTGTAAAGCGGAGACAGCCCTGGGAGGGGTGGCATTCCGGCATCTGCTGGGGAGGGGAGCTGGGCGGGGGGCGTCTCCGCTGCAGGGGAAACCCGGGGTGGCGCGGGCACCCCCAGAACTCCGGGGAAGGGCCCAGGAAGTCGGGACGCCCGGCGGAGCTGGGGGGGTGTGGTGGGACGCCCGTCCCTCCCCGCAGTCGGGTCCCTCCGGTCTTCTCTTGGCTGCTGTCCCCGGGGCAGGGGAGGGGGGCAGGGACTGAGGTGCGGCGTTGGGTGGGGGCGGGGCCGCCGACGCCCCGCGGGATTCTCTCCGCCCCCGGGTCTCCCGCCCGGGGGTCTCCCGCCCGCCCCGCCCCTCCCCGGACCCTCCTCCCCCAGGGGCGGGGGCGGCTGCGGCTGCGGGAGCCGCTGCGGGAGCCCTCGTGGAGGCCGGGGCAGACGCGGTGAGCTGCGAGGCGCCGCGCCCCCCGCCCCGCCCCGCCCCCTCCCGCTCCCGGCCGCTCTGCTCGCGCCCCTCGAGCTCGCGCGCTCGCCGCTCCCGCCGCCTCGTCGGGCCCCGCGCTCCGCCGCCGCCTCGCTTCGAAACCCTGCGCCCGCCAGCCTCGGGGACCGCACCGCCGGGCCCCCTGCTCGCTGCAGCGGGCCGGGCCGGGTCCCGGACCCACCATGCGGGGAGAGCTCTGGCTCCTGGCGCTGGTGCTCCGGGAGGCTGCCCGGGCGCTGAGCCCCCAGCCCGGAGCAGGTAGGACTGACCGGAGTTTGCCGGGTGGGCCGGGGGCGGGGAGGGGGCGCGAAGGCAGGCGTGGGCAGGGGCGAGTACGGACAGGCTGGGGTTGTCGCTGCTGTTGTCGCGGGATGGGGTGGGGGTATTGTCCGCGGGAGGCCGGGAGCCCTGTCTGTGGCAGGTGGACAGGGACCCCACTTTGCTAAACGCAGTGTGTGTAAGAGAGGGTGCAGGCATCAGAAATTGTCCTCCTGGAAGGACACTGAAGGTGCCCCTGTAGAGGGGGCTCCATGAGGCTGTGGTCCCAAAGGAAACAGTGGGAGGGTTAGAGGGACCCCTGGCCACATGGGGCAAGGCTGAATTCTGACGAGATGGGGAGTCCGCCAAGCTCTGCCCCTTCTTTCTCTCCCCTGTCCCCATCCCCAAGCTGACCCAGGTTGGGTCCCAGTGGATTTGGGGGCTGGGTGGGAGCAGACAGGGGGATGGTGGAGACGAGCATCTATCTCTCCCAGAGGAAGGGCGTCGGTGGCCTGGACTGAAGCCTTCCTCTCCCTGTCTGGTACCTGGAGAGCCGCTCTGGGCCCAGGAAGAAGCAACTTGCTGCTCCCCCACCCTCCATCTCGCCTCCTTCAGGATCCCCCTCTCACTCCCGCTCTGCCCCGCCCTGTGACCTTTTAGCCTTTAGTTGCTCTGGCTGTAGATTGGGGCCGGGCGTGGGGGCACCTGTCTTCACACTCCTCTTCCCCTTACACCAGTTTTCCACAACCATCTCTCCCACCTGGAGGTCCTTTCTGAGATCTACCTTGAATCTCAAATGCTATAAAAGAAACATTTTTCAACAGGTAATTTTACATTATCCTCTTGTAACCAGTCCTTCTCTAGGGTTGGAGAGGTGGGTAATTTGCAGTCAAGTCTCTTGACAATTGGGAAGATAGAGCTGTCTGCCTCACCGGCGTCGTGTCCCTCGGAGGGAACAGAGCAGTGTGTGTCTGTGTGCGCACGAGTATGTGTGCATGTGTGTGTGTGTGTGTGTGTGTGTGTGTGCGTGCGCGGTTGGGCTGCTGGTTCTCAGGGGTATGCTAGCATCAGGTACAGTGTCGGTGACAGTGTTCTTGGCTTCACTGGTCCATGTATGAGGCTGACGCAGGCCTGGGTCCCTGTGGAGGGCGGTAGGGAGGGTGCTGGTGGCAGAGATGTGGCCAGAGAGCAGTGGAAGCTGATGTGGCAAGAGGCTGCTGGTGCGGAGCCACCCCACCGGTTTTCAGGGAGACCGCACAGGGAATGGCCGGAGATGTGGCTTCTAGTCCCAGCATCTCACGTGCTGTGTGACCCTGAGCAAGTGATTTTCCTTCTCTGGGCCTGTTGCCTCGTTATACAGTGAGACTGTGGGCAAAGTCTTTGGCTCTTGGTGGTGGAATTATGGGAGATTTCTTTTTTTATGACTGTCTTTCCTTTTCTGATTTGTTATGAGATATATGGGTGATAATTTAAAAAAAAACTAATTTAAGAAAGAAGAGGTTGGACAAGTCAATTTTTGAGGTCCTTTGCAGCCCAACGAACCTGGTGGAATTTTCTGAACTCAGGATGTGTGTGACTGGGTCGATGAGGGAGGGCTCGGGACCTCTGCAGAACTGAAGAACCGTGCAGAGGGTTGGGGAAGGGGAGCTGGGAGCTAACGAGGGGGATGGTGGCCAGACCCAGGCCTGGCTGAAGGCCACCTCCTCAGAGCTGGGTTGAGGGAGCAGACAGCTGGGATGGCCAGCAAGAGCAGGGCAGGCAGAGGCATGAATCACGGCTCTAAGTGGAGGACGCTCTGTCTTCTCTGCTTGGACAGAGATTCAGCCAGAGGCAATGGACTTTGTCTGCAGCAGGAGAGATGGGTTAGACCTCAGGAAGCTTCAGGAAGCCTGAGGGGTAGCTGTTAGGGGGCATCTTTGGGATAGGACAGGTGTGGGGGTGGGACAGTCTGTGGGAGGGCCACTAGGGAGAGACAGCCTAACTCTGGTGGGTGGTGGAGCCAGAGTAACGACTAACGACGAGTGACTAGCGAAGGGGCAGCTGGGAGCTGGACTTGAAGGGGTGCCTCCGTTCAGCTCGAAGGCTCCTGAGCCCTCTGGGCAGGGAGGGGGTGGCTCAGGAGGGGGCTGTGACCTCCTGTTCAGGGTGTTCTGGCCATCTTAACAGTAAGGTGTCTTCACACTGAAAGACGAAGCCAGCGACTGCATAGAATATAAGAGAATGTATTCTATGGTAATTTACTTACGGGAAGATCAGACCTGGGGGGAAACGACCCAGCAGCTTTGCCCAAATTATTCTCTAACAGACCCCTCTTGCAGTGCTTTTTAAGTAGTGTAATGCGGGTATTAATGACTGACAGGACAAAGGGACAAAGAAGGCAGTAGCACCAGGAGCCATACCTCCTGGTGGTCTCGAGATAGATGATTGTTTATAATCAATGTTATCGCCAGCTTGATATTTAGCTCAGTCATCATGGGATCTGGCCATTATGAAAAACCCTTCGTGGCCGAGTTTTAAGGAGCACAGATAATCGTGCACTAGGAAGTTTGAAATGGGTGCTGGGGACAATGAAGCGGGTCAAAGGTCACAGTGTGAGACTCAAATCTGGGTCACAGATACGGGTTCGTTCTGCTCACATCCGCACATCTCCTCTCCCTCCCGAGGGAGTGGCGGGCTCTGCGGAGCCTGGCCATTTCTCCGGGTGTTGGAGTGGGGGCAGGAGAGAGAAGAGTGGCCAGAAGGAAGAGTCCGGTGGAGGGGAGGCCAGGAGAGGCTGGCAGACAGACAGATGGACAGACAGGAAGACGGCCTTGCGGTGCCTGGTGGGAGAAGGGGATGCTGAGAGCCTGGCCCAGGTAGAACCAGAGGCGTCTAAAGCAGACAGAAGGAAGAGGCAGCTGGAAGTGGTGGTGCAGCCTGGGCGCCAGGAGACCGGGCCCAGCACCAGCCCTGGGTGGCCGTGGCGACTTCCTTCTTCCTCTGAGCTGTGGCTTCCCTTCTTCTGTTAAATGGAACATGGACTAGATTGTCTAGGGCTGGCCAGCCACAGTCACGCGTCCAGCCTCCTCCTCACCACCAGGGGATCCCAAACAAGTCGGGGCTGAGATCTGAACTTCTTAACATGGCCATCGAACAGCCTGTCCCCACCCTCACACCTGCCTCACTGTCCCCATTCTGTCCCTCAGCACATCAGGCCGCGTCCCTTCCGACCTTCAGGTAACTGCTTCTCATCCAGGTCTCAGTCAGCCCAAGGGCCCCCTCCTCAGGGAGCCCCTTCCTGAAGGTTCTGTCCAGAGCAGCAGCCACCTCTGACCCCTCTGACCCTCCGTCTGTCTGCTTTTCTTCAGAGCACGCGTCACCGCCTCCCATTGTCTTCCTTGCCGTGTTATTGATTTTGTGCATGTCTCATCCACCCAGAATCTGCATGGGCACAGGGGCTGTGCCTACCCGCTCTTTGTTGCCGCCCCAGCAGCCAGCATGGCAACCCAGCACACAGCAGAGCCTCAATAGGTGTGTGTTGAATGAGTAAGTGAATTAGAGGCGGTCTCAGACACCAGACTCTCCTTCCATCGAGAGAAACTCACAGGGAGCCAAACTTTCCTCTCCTCTTCTCTTTTCTTTGGAGGTGCTTGGTGGTCCCCTCCTGCCAATTCCTTGTGCCTCCTTCCCTCTCTGGAGATGGGGGTCAGCAGCGGGACCTGCCCGCCCACAGGAGGGGAGAGAGTTCACGCACTTGGGGGCTCTGTAGCTAGGAGGCGGGGTTTCAGCTCAACGTTTGGAGCCTTTCCCAAGCCCCTCGGAAAGTGGGTCCTCTTGTGAATCCCAGGGAAGGCTAGGCCCTGCCGGGTGCTTTGGGTACATTATATTGTGAAAGACTCAAAACGGCCTACCAAGTGTAGGTTTTATCATGCCCATTTTACAGATGAGCAAACTGAAGCTCGTAGAGATTTTTCAATTGGTTCAGCATCGCGATTAGTAAGTAGTAGATTCAGGCTTCATTCTTGAGCTTGTCTGATGCCATAGCTGTGTTCTTTTACTGCTGCTGTGACATTACGGTGAGGGGATGCAGCGGGGCTGTGCCCCAGGGCAGGTCTTCTCAGCCCCAAGATCTCGGGTACTCAGGACACTTAAAGATCCTCCTCCCCTCCTTCCTCCCTCCTCCTCTCCTTCCTCCCTCCTTCTCTCCCTCCCTCCTCCGCTCCCTCCCTCCTCCCCTTCAGTCACACATGTGAGCCCACTGAGCATTGCTTTGTGTCGGGTACCAAGGGCCCACGAATGCACAGGCAGCAGTGATATATTGGGATCAGGGCTGCGGTGGCACATGTAGCATTTGGGACCAGGGGAGAGATGTGAGAGGATATTCTGGGAAGAAGTGACGTCTGGGGAGATTTGGAGGAAGAGCAAGAGCTCATGGGGGAGGGAAAGGGTTTGTTTATGGAGCAGAGTGATCCTGGCTCAGAAGCCAGGATGTGTGTGAAGCCAGGAGCAGGTGTGAAGCCCGTGGCCAGACAGAGCAGGGCCAAGTCCTGGAGGGGCTTTGGGGAGACGGGAAGCTGGAGGCGAGAGCAGGAATTCGGTCGCAGGGGTCCTCAAGTGCTGGGGAGAGGTGGCGAGTGCGACATGGCAAGTTGGAGTCAAGTTTATCCTCTAGATGCTCTGGTGGGCATGTGAAAGACTAGCTGAAGGGCATCCAAAGTAGAGGCTGAAGTAGCTGCTGCACTGAGTGGTGGTCGTGGGGCTCGGGTGATGCGTGGGGAGAGGATGGCTTGGATCAGGCACTAGGGTGGCATGACCTGGCCTCTCGAAATCAGCCCATTGCTTCCTGCCCTGCAGCAGGGTGGCAGCACGTGAAGGGGGTTAGGGCACTGCCACTGGCCCGCCCCCTGCAGGGCAGGGGACACAGTCTCCCAGATTCAGGTCCAATGGCTCTCAGAGCAGGGCACCCAGGAGCCCCGCCCACACGCCAGTCCTGCCCTGGGGCTGCCCCTGCACCTTGGGAGACAGCCCAGGGCCGCTGGTCACGTCTTGCAGCAGACGCTGGAGCCCGCCTGCCTGCGTGCAAACTCTGCCACAGACTAGTTGTGTGACCACGGGACATTCCTTAACAGCTTCGTGCCTCAGTTTCCAAATTCGTAAAACAGATCTAACTAAGCTAGCACCGGTCTCGTGGGGTTATTGTGGCGATTAAAATTTGAGTTAATTTGTTTAAAGCACCTGAAGTAGCACTGGCACAGAGTAAGCATCCCTCCCACCACTAGTGACCGTTGTTATCACTGTTCCTGTTGTGACGTCTCACCAGACCGGGGGCCATGGGCAAACGAGTGGATGAAAAATGAACAGCGTGTTCTGGAAGCCTCTTGCCCTCACTCACAGGCCGGGGCTCTGCAGTGCAAGGCAGAAGGGAGATCAGGGAGCAGCCGAGGTTTGGACAGGTGTGTAACAATTGCGTGAGCATGCAGGGAGGAGGCTGGGGCCTTCAGGCAAGTCTCTGTGTGTGTGTGCGTGTGCGAGTATGCACGGGCACGTGGGACCTTGCACACACACACGTGAGCAGCCAGCTGTGTTGGCTCCCTGCGAGGGTGGAGGGGTGAGGTCCGGTCCGGGCCAGCTGGGAGAGGGAGGGTGGCGGGGAGACGGGGTAGTGTGGTTTGGGAGGGCAGACTCCTCACTCTCCGTTCCCTACCCTCTCCCAGGACTCTGCCTCTGGCCCTGGCCCTGAGCCCTCTACTTATAAAGCCTTCTAATGTCTGTTTCTCACTGGAGGCTGACTGCAGCCTGTGCCATGGGCATGAATGATTGTCCCATTTTAGGGATGAGGAAGTTGAGGCTTAGAGGTAAACCAATGGGTCCAAGGTGGAACAGCTTGTGGGTACAGGTGTGTGGCCCCGGCCCCACCTGTAGCAGGGCACCCCCTCCCTGCCCTCTCCCCAGGCCCTGGGTGCCTACCCTCCGGGCCCCTGCCAGTCACAGGACTGTGGTGTCTGCACATCCCCAGCACCCCCGTCCCAGCCAGTCGAACCCCTCCGCTTGCTCTGCACATGCTCCTTTCCTGTCCTGGCTCCTGCCCAGGCCCAGGGCAGCTTCCAGAAGGAGCCAGGGAGCGGGACAGCCCAGCCCAGCCCAGCACAAACAGTCCTACTTCTAGGGAGAGCTGTGGGCCTCACCCAAGAAGGGCAAAGCAGCACTGGCTTGAGGTGTGGACCAAGGGCAGCTGTCTTCGCAGGACTGGGCCCGGGTCCCTCCCAGCCAGTGGGCTTGGAGGTGGGGTCTGGAGACCACCCCTCTCCGTGTCTTCTGGAGAGCATCTGGTTGCGATTAGGGGCAGAGAAGTGAGTAGGGGCAGGCAAGGGGCCAGCAGGTGCCAGCTGCCAAGAATGACTTAATTGGATACAATGTCTAATGACAAATCAGAGCCTCACAGCAGAGAGTCCTGGCCCCAGCCCCAGGCCTGGGCCGGGCCAAGCCTTGTCTCAGCCTCTGTGCTTGCTGGCTCCCAGGTTCCCTCCAGTACCGTGTGCTCAGTTATGCAGTGGTTGAGCACCTACTGTTTGTCAGGCACTGAGGGTGCACATCAGCAGCAGGTGGGAGAGCCCCGGGGGCGCCGGGGAGGCAGGCACGCAGTCACAACACCAGTGCAAGCTCCCGGAAAGGGGGCTGCGTCCGGGAGCTCTGGGGAGCCGGTGGGCACAGGCAGGGGTCTCGAAGGGCCTCTGACCCAGGGTGGGCCTGAAATTGATGAAGATCTCAGGGACAGTGGGACCCCCGAGGTCGGGTGGCCTGTGTCCCACACGCACACCCCTGGTAGGTGTGGCAGTGGGAATGACAATACAAAATGCGTCTTTGAGGGCACACATCTCCCTGAAACGGACCAGCGCGGTTTCTGTGTCACGTAGAAAAGTTTAATGCGGGAACAAGACAGCACGTGAGTCTGGGAGGAGATGTTGAGTGGCAGACTTTGCTAATGGCCCGCAGTGACCTTTCCTGCTGCACAGCATTGGAGCCTCAGGATCCCTCAGATACACTGCTCCTGGCTGTCAGCAACCAGAGATGCGTTTGGAAATGAAAGCTTTTTGTCCTCCTTGACGGCGTCTGTGCCCCTTATTCAACGGGGGAAATGACTTGCCCACGGTGTTGGCAGATAGTGGGAGGATTAAACAGCCGCCCCACTATGGAGACACCTAGGACTACCACAGCCTGGGAAGCAGTGGCATCTAGTGCGAGAGGCCAGGGACGCTGGTAGATGTCACAGTGCTCAGGAACTGCCCGCCCTGCCCAACAAGGGACTGTCCAGTCCAGAATGCCAGTAGATCCAAGGTCAAAAAGCCTCGAACTAAAAGAATTCTGCTCTCTGGCTTCTAGTCCCTGGAGTCCGCTGAAAGGTGAGATGACGCATCATTTCTGGCAGAGAAACGAGGAACTGGTTTGGAAGGTTCCAGAGTGGTGCTTCTCACCTTCGTCTGCAGTGTTAGATCCGGGGCTTCTTAGTAGCCCCCCTGGGGATCATTTAAGAACCCCATCCCTCAGCCTCCACTGGGCACTGTGCTACGTCCGCCTCTCCGGGGTGGGACCCAGACACCGGGGGCTTTTAAAGCTCCTTGGATGATTCCAGTGTGTGGCTGAGGCTCAGAGTAACCACCATTTGGGAGGCTGATCTCCCTGGGTTTGAAACTCGTCTCCATCCCTAACCTGCTGTGCCACCTTCTTTAACCTCTGTGAGCTGCTGACTCCTGTCTGTGAAAGGGAGAGCATCCTGTCTGCTGTGGAGGGCTGGCGTGAGGACTCCGCAAAGCCCATGATGTAGAACCGGGTGCATGCCTCTCAGGGCATGTGGGGTGTCTCCTGCCCTGGTGGGCCGTGCCGGCATGGGGCGGGGCCTCTGCGAGGAGGAGGGCTGGTTCCCCTCTCAGACCTTCACTCTGGAACCCCAGGACTTAGCCTTCTGTCCCCTTCTCCCAGGTCAGGACGCAGGCCGAGGTTCTGGATGGGCTGCCAAGGGGACCGTACCTGGCTGGCATCGGAAAGCCCGAGAGAGCCCTGGGCAAGTGTCGGAGCCAGACAGGACCCAGCTGAGCCAGGACCTGGGTGGGGGCACCCTGGCCATTGACACACTGCCGGAGAACAGGACCAGGGTAGTGGTGAGTGCTGGAGGGCCGTGGGGGGGAGGGAGATGGCACTGGGGGGCCCACCAGGTGCCCCACGCACACATGTCCTTCGGTGTCAACCTTGGAGGTCAACGTGAAGATGGGGATCTCGAGGGGGATGGAAGCAGGGCCCAGTCTGGGTCATAACATCTTGGCATCTCAGGAGTTTCATTGGCTGCCTCCCTCCTCGTGGATGCCAAGAGGGAAAGTGATTTGCTCAGGGACACCCAGTGAGTCCACAGAGTCCCTAACACTGCACTGTCCCACTGCTGAGGGCCTCCACGAAAAGCTGAACGAGGGTGGCATTCTCAGTCACGTCCCGCGGTCAGCTCTGGTCCCCCCCACCTCATTTTTGTGCCATCCACGTCTCTGTGTGTCTCCAAAGAGTTCATGGTGGCAGAGGCTCGGGCCGCTCGGCCTTCTGGCAGGGAACTCTGAGCAGGGGAAGCAACGAGGGTGAAGGCCCGGGAGAGACCCTCCTCTGCTTGGGGCGGGGCAGGGAGGCCAGCGGGGTGGACGCGGCTGGCCTCTTGGGGTCTCTGCTCTCCCGCTGGCCTCCTGAGATGCTGTTGGGGTGGCCTCTGCGTGTGCGTGGGGGTGAACTTACAACCGTGTGTGTGTTAGCAGGGGGGTGTTCCCGCTGGAGTCTGAGGGTTTGGGTGTATCACGTACGTCTTCCTGTGTGCCTGTCACCAGGAGCTATTTCTGAGTGTGTGAGTGTCTGTGAGTGTGTGTCTGTGTGTGTGAGTGTGTGTGCCTAGGGTGGAGAGTAGACAGGGTGGGTTCTCAGGATGCTGAAGGACTGTGTAAGAGACGAGAAGGAGAGACAGGACGTGCTCCTCAGTACATATTCCTTTATCTTGTGTCTTCATAACTCTTTTTAAAATCAAAGACGTGCTTTGCGGATAGTCAGAAAGGTCGAATAATGCTAAAATCGGAAAACAGACCGCCCCCACGGCTTCAGGCATATCTGCCGACGGTTACCTCTGTAGCTCTGAGTAATTTGCTTATTCTGCTGCCTCTTGATTAACCCATTTAGACATCGTCTGTTGCCCACCTGTTGTGTGGATGAAGGTTTGCCTTTTACACGCTCTCCCGAGCATCGTTTCACTCTCAATATTTTCGTTAAATCCACATACTCTATATATTATAATCCTGGAAATATCCTCCACCACTAATCCAAGTAAGGCAACAGCACTGTTTACTTTCTCAAATATTTTAATTTTTCCCGGATCCCTGCCGCCTCTGCTTGCTTAGTTTTCTGTATTTACTGTAGCTATATATTCTCACACATCCTTTGGCCGTGTTAAGAAAGAGACCACAGGCCCAAAATGGAGTCACTTGTGCTAAACCCGCAGCACAAAAACCAACACTTCCTGCCCAACTTCATCTCAGTCTCCCCCTCTCCCTGGAGTGGAACCTTCAACCAGTCAGCCTGGGATGACCGGTCAGCCCTAGTGATGTCACCCCTGAAAGAGGGCGACCTTGACACCATCTCCTCACTGCAAACTTCCTTCTCTCTGCTGGAGGAGATGCTGCCCGGCTCATGAATCATTCAGTAAAGCCAATAAGCTCTTTAAATTTTACTTAGTTGAATTTTGTTGCTTAACAGTCTCAAATATAATTTTGGGGGGACGCAAACTTGTCAGTTCTCCCCTGGCCTCCCCCTGACCCCCTGCCCTGAAACCTCTGTCCCACGGTCCTGCTCTGTTCTGGGCTGGCTGTTCCCCTGCCTGCCCCGCGGCCGTCCTGGGACCTCCCTTCATCGATGGGACCCCTGGTCTCTCTCCTGTGTTGGGTGTCCTGGTCCCTGACCCTGTGTCTTCTCTTTTCTGCTTCTCCCCCTTGTTTAGCTTCCTGAGAAAGGTTATACGGAAGAAAAAGTTCTTTCGCGAGCTTGTGTGTCGGCAAACGCCTTTATTCTATCTCATCCTTGATTGATGGTTTGGCTGAATATAGAATCTAGATTAAAAATAAATTTCCTTCCAAAGTTTGCAGGCACCTCACCATTGTCCTCTGCCACTCGATGTCACTGTTGGGAGGTTTGATGTCATTCTTATGCCCCATTTCTGTATACACCTGTTCCCTCCCGCCAAAGCTTCTGGAGGCAGAAGCTTTCCGGGGTGTCCTCTGTGACCTGAGAGTGAGGCCCCTGCTGTGGCTGGATTCACCAGTTCTGGCAAGTCTTCCACTTCTGTTTTTTGGCATTACTCTTGATTTGTTCAAAAAATACAGCATTAAAATATTCTCCATCTTGATGACTGAGTTTGGGGTCATTAAATGTTGCCCCCAAAGCGAGCGCCTCGCTCTCCTCACCCTGATTTCGGCCCAGAGGCAGGAGCCCACCACACACTCACGCGCGCGGCCCCTCTCACTCCGGTTCTGGCCCACCTTCTCCGACCTTCGGAACCAGGAGCCCTGGTGGGGGGATGGAGCGGAAGGCCATGCCCTTCAGGAGAGGACCCCTGAGTAAGGGGCACCTGGGGCTCACCCTTCCCTGTGCCCAGCTTAATTGGGCCATCGATTACAGAACTGATACTTGCTTTGAGCCAGAGGGCCATGTCCCAGTTTGCAGAGAGGACCATGTGAAAGAGAGTGGCAGAGATGCAGACTTCTGGAAGCAGTTGTCTGTAGGCGTTTGAAAGGGCAGTGGGGTCTTTAAGAGCCATCATGGAGTCAGTAACTGCAGAGCCAAAAACACAAGCGCTTGGGTTCCATCCTGGACCGACTGGTTCAGAAACTCCGCAGCTAGAGCCGGGGAACTTGTTTCTTTAAAAGTCGCCCTGGCTGGTGTGGCTCAGTGGATTGATTTCCGGCCTGCGAACCAAAGCGTTGCCAGTTCAATTCCCAGTCAGGGCACATGCTTGGGTTGTGGGGTCAGGTCCCCGGTAGGGGACGCGTGAGAGGTAACCGTACATTGATGTTTCTCTCCCTGTCTTTCTCCCTCCCTGCCCCTTTCTCTAAGAAATTAAAGTCCCCCCGTTGACTCTCCTGGTGATCTGGGGATTTCTGACAGGTAACACTTCAAACCAATTTCAAAATTGGTTTCCAGATTGATCATCAGAATGTGTCGCTTTCTCGGGCACCACGTGGCTCTGTGCTTGACCACAAGACTCCCATTACCTCTGGGCTTTGCGGCTTCGTGGCTCCCTCAGCAGCCACGCGTCGGGAGTCCAGCGTCAGGAGTCCAGGTGGAGGGGCAGGGCCACCCTGGCAGGAGGTCCCCCTGACTGCGCCTCTGACTGCGAGGGTCCGCGCCCAGCATTTCCCGGATCGGGCCTCCGCCTCGGCTGGGAGGGAGTTCAGACTTCAGGGCGGGGACCGGCAGCCGACCTCGCTGGGCTGAATGATAGCCAGAGTCCCACTGGGCGAGACTCCTGGGGCAAATATAAATCCTGGAATAAGGTGGGAGAGATGTGCTTTAGCTGCAGTTCAGGAAGGAAACTTGGGGCTCCTTCGTGCCCGTGGGCTGAGGACGAGTCAGGAGTGGGAAGTGGCTTCCAAGGATGGAGGTGGCTAAGCCGGCAGTGCTCACGGGAACCCACAGAAAACCCTGGGACCGGGGCTGGGGCCCTGGGGGTCCTGCGGGGTATCTCTCCGCCGAACCACAGCTGAGGGGCTCTCACCTTCCTTTTCGATGGTTGTCCAGGAACCAGGGTAACCCAGAATGGTTGTGGGGATTTGGGGCAGTTCGTTTAGCACAGATACGGCTCTAGAGGTGGCTGTTCTCCGTAGCTGCGGGGCTGCTGCTCGGGCAGAGGGCGTAGCTGATTTTTCTCCCTAGCACGTGTCCTGTCCTGCACCGAATTCCCTGTTTATTTGCTTATATTGCCTGTTGTATTCTCACGCCCACTCTGAAACCACATCCTGGTGGGAATGGGACTCGTGTCTGAGCTGCAGTTTTCTAGAGATTTTCCCACTGAGACCATATGGCCCTGGAGCACTGAGATTTCTCTGGATGGGGAGGGGCTGGGGGAGCCATGGTGCTAAGTCAGAGGCCTTGAGATGTGCTGTGGTTTCCCCTCAGACGCTGGAAGGGGAGGCCTTGGACAAAGGTTCTCTTCCACCTCTGGGACTTTCCAGTCTTGGTTCTGTGGTTTAGGACTGGAGCCAGAGTTTGGGAGGAACGAAGTTCAAGGACATTGGGACTTGGAGGTTCCCCTGCAGTACAATAGGTTCTCTCCATAAGAGAAAAGAGTCCCTCCTGCCACCCCAGTCTTCCTGGGCCCAGCCTCCATGCATTGCTCTCCTTTTTGGCCCAAGCAAAAGCTCCCAGCTCATGCAGCACTGTGATAGGCCCAGAAACACTGAGGACCCTGCATCGGGGCAGGTACCATGTACTCCAAGATGGGTGAACAGTGAGATGGACCAGTGAGAGCAATTTCTGCCTGGTTTCTACAACCTTCCAAAGCAGGCAGTTCCCCAAAGGAGACCTCCATAAGGCCCCCTTCCAGGCCTACAGGCCAAGGGGAGACAGGACAGGGGGACAGATTCACAGCACAGACGCATAGAGAACAAAGGGTGCTTGCTGAAGCACCCCACCAGGCCAGTGCCCTGTGGAAGCAAAGAGGCGAGGAGGCCAGTGTGGGAGGGCGCCTGGGAGTAGGGTGGGAGGTGGGTCAGGGGACAGGAAGGTTGTGAGCTGGATTTTGAGGAGAGAGAAGGTGAGAGAGTTCGTGAGAAGAAAGGGTACCGGGGAGGCGGAGAGAGTCTGACCGTGTTGGCCCCGGAACTTGGCCCCGGCACCTCCCAGCTCCACGACCTCAGTTGGGCTGGACGCCCAGCCCCTCAGGTGTCAGGACAGGATGATTCTTCCACTTCCATGAAGTGTTGGGGGAAAGAAGCAATGCTTTGTCCAGAAAGTCAGTCCACACCCTCCTTCCACGCCTGGTCTGCCCCTTGACTCCCAGGGCCTTCTTCGGTCAGCCCCAACCACCCTGACCCCGCGGTAGGCCAGCCCTTGGCACTGATGTCAGTGCCTTTATCTGGCCTGG